GTCCTTTTGATGTCATATGGTTGATTGTTCTAAGGTGTGTGTACCTCCCTGGTGTTGTTATTCACCTTATAGAACTATCTACTATTTGGCCCAAAGTTGAGCCACAAAGGTGAGTTCATTTCCTAGTTTGAAGGTTGACTAAGGGCCATAGTGTCAGCGGTTCTACCAGTTTCTAGCAGATCAGTAAGCCTGATCTTTTTTCATGATTTTGAGTTTTGTTCCACATTTTTCTCCTGCTGTATCCAGAACCTTCCACTATGATCTCTTTCAGAACAATCAGTAGTGGTAGTTGGGCACAGTCTACTTCTGGTCTCTGGGTCATGGAGACTGAAGTTTGCATGGTCCATTAGCCCTTTGGACTAATTCTTTTCATAAGTCTTTGATTTTCTTCACTCTTCTTTACTTTGCACAGGGATAGACTGATAGTTGTACCTTAGATGGCTGCTTACAAACTTTTAAGATCTTCAGGAAATTTCTGGTTTGAGGGTTAAAGATTATCTTATGGCAATAGTTTCAGTGGTTCCTCAAGCCTCCATGGCTCTAGAAAGTCTGGAGTCTATGAGAATTTGAAATTCTGTACTGCATTTTCTCCCTTTTGATCAGGAGCCTTCTATATTATCTTTAACCAAAATGTTCACTAATGGTAGCTGGGAAGAACCTCAGCCATCAGTGAAGCTCATAAGCTTCCATCTCAGAGAAGACTGAAAGATGATTTGAATTAAAGAGCTGCAGGGAGCAGCAGTTTAGTCATAGATTGAATTGTAGGCACTGCGTCAGGACATCTGTTTTCTAGGCCACTGACCAGTTTTATGACCTTGACCAAATTCACTCTTACTCTGGGTATTGGTTTCCTCATCTGTACAGTGAGGGAATTTCACCGATGGGCTCTTAGCTTTGATGACCTTGATTATATCTAAGCCTTATTAGTTGTTTTCTCAAATCATTTTGGGGTTACTTCCTTTCACTGCACCAAGAAAATGTTGAGTTTGATGCATATATTGGCATGTTATCCCTGTATATTTTTTACTTTCCAATTTTCATTTGCATTTTTTATAAGCAATAATGAATGCACGTGGGAAAACTTCAAACAATACAGCAGAGGAAAAGAAAGATCTCCTTCCATCCCAGACACCCAGTTTCCTCTCCAGAGGCACCCACTGCTGCCAGTTTCTTGTATATCCTTCTAGAGAGATTTAATGCGTATATATAACCACCAGATAGTAGCATATCCATGCGTACAGTTATGCCCTTGGGTGTTTCCCTCTAAACAATGTCTCTTAGAGATTGTTCTGTGTAAGTACCTATAGAGCTACATAGAATTCCTCTGAATGGATGGTCCATAATTTCCCACTGATGGGCATTAAAATTGTTTCTAGTGTTTTGCTATTATAAATAATACTGCAGTGAATATCCTCATATAGACGTCTTTGTTGGTGTGCACTTTACTTTGATAACAAAGCCACTGCCTCAGTTCTACTCATTCCCAGTTTCTACAGTTAATAACCAGCAATATTTAGTCTGAATGGTCAACTCTAAATTAAGGGGGAAAAACCAGCATCTCTACCATTCTTCCTTATGGATGCCTCTATAAGGTCTGGTCTTTTGAAGACTAGCAAAGATGGTTTTGGGAGAGCTCTTCTCCACACTTTAAGGTCCCTCAGATAAGGATTCTGAAATTAATAAAATTTCTAAGCAGTATCTGGTTGCTGTGTAGAGTTGAATAACAGAGTACATTGTGCATAAACCTGGTGCAGCATTTTATAAATCGACAAGGGCAGTCTACTTAAGTCACTGAAGATGGGCCTCCTCCCGTTTATTGTTCATGTCAATGATTTTATCAGACCAAAATCAGGTTTTTAATTTTTTGAAGCATCAGTACAACTTAGCATAGGGTTAATAACTTGTGTGTTCCGAGCCTTCTTTTTCCTTGTCTGGGAATTTCTGATCATGGAAATACTCAGTTTACACATTTTTCTTTCTCTCTCTCTCTCTTTTTCTTTTTTTGAATTTTGCAAGACCAATGACTTAATTATTGAAAATACCTTTTTCTTTTCAAAAAAATTTTTTTATTGTGATTTGGGTGAAAGTGTACAGAGCAGATTCATTTTCCATACAGCAGTTCATACACGTTTTGTTTCAGGAAAGGTGACTAGGGGCCAAAGTCTTGGGAATCTCACCAGGCTTTATCAGACCAGTAATCAGTTTACACATTTCTTTTACAGACACAGCTGACCATCTTTTTTTGTCTGTAGAGATTATATAATAACAATAGGCACATATTTTTTCAGAAGGTTCAAAAATGCCTGTTCCTTGAAATAATCATCATATTCCCATTATGCCTCCCTCTTCTCACCTGAAATGTTCTGTGAATTAAGCCCTTTGGATATCTGGATTTCATCTTATTTGAATGTGTAGTCCCTGACCTCTCTCCACAGTTCTTCAAATAGAAATTATAATTATACTTTTTTTTTCAGTTTTGAAACTAAGTGAATAAGACATATCCACCGGTTTCATTCATTCATCAGATCATTTACCAAGCTCCTCTTGTTTTCCAGAGGTGGTACCAGGAGCTTAGTCATTTGATGGTAGAGTTAATTCTGAAAGGAAAACCTAAACCTTTAGGCAATATACCTTAAGTATTCTTACCTCCCCCGCTAGCATTTGTTATTGAGCAGAGGGTTGCACATTTATCCAAACCCTCCACAAACCCTTCCTATTTGTAACCTGGACAACCTTTGGGCCCTGGTCCTGTACAGATGGTCTGTTGTGTAGTTGCTACCTCTTTGCCATTGAAGGCAAGCTCTATTTACAGGAATGCTCTTGGTTTCAGCAGTTGATCCTGTTCTTCAGTGTGAGGCATGGCAAAGGGTGGTCAAGGCCAGTTGAAAGAACAGGTGGATGACCTGACATAGGGCCTCAATTTTGGTGCTGGTTCTGCCTGACACTATCCAGAATGTGTCCCATTATCTGTCTGGGTGAAAGTTGCTCTTTCATTAAATAAATTAACTGGACTAGACCATCTCTGAAGTCCCTTACACAGCCTAAAGTTCTAGCCTTCCAACAAGCCACAAAAAATCCATCCCTTTACCTCATTCAATGCTATCACCAGCTTTGAGTTTCTGTGAAGGCAGGAGCTGTTTATCCAGCTTCAAGTCCAATGCCTGGCACATGCAATAAATATTTGAGTCAGTATATGAATGAAAAAAAAAGAATATTTCACCCCACCCCCATCCCAGGGAATATATATCTCTATCTATCTATCTGTCTATCTATCTATCTCTCTATATATACACACACATACACACACACTCTGGTAGCATAGTGCCTAAGGCACTTGACTGCTAACCAGAAGGCTGGCAGTTCAAACCCACCAGCCACTCCTTGGAAGGAAGGTTGGGCAATCTATTTCCATAGTGATACTGCCTCAGAAACCCAAGGTTGCTGTGAGTCGGATCCAACTCAACAACAACATACACACACATATATACATTTATTTTTATATGTGTCTATGCCTGAGGGAGCTCTGGGGGCGTAGTGCCTAAGGCATTTGACTGCTAACCAGAAGGCTGGTGGTTCAAACCCACCAGTCACTCCTTGGAAGGAAGATTGGGTGATCTGTTTCTATAGAGGTACCACCTTGGAAATCCAAGGAGGGATCTCTATGAGTCAAGTCCACGTGATGGCAGTGAGTTTGGTTTTTTGGTTTCATGCATATACCTATATGTCTACACATATTTGTTCATTCATACTTACATACATACATATTCCAGAATCTAGCTATGTGATTCTGTCTTCATACAATCTGCTTTTTTGAACTAGCCACAACAACTAGCTCTTGGCCACCAGATCAGTGTTGTTAGCATAGCATTAACTTCAGTGCCATTTGAAATGTGAGATTTACATAGTTGATTGGGCTGCTTGAAAATTTAGTTTTAAAACATATTTCCACATAATGTCTATAGCAAATTAAAGATCTAAGATATTTAACTTTGGGCTTTTCAGTGAAATTTCCAATAATTTTATCCTTCAAAGGTGGTAATACCAAATACAACAAAAATGGAGGCCTTTTTTTCAGAAATGAAATGAGCATATAAAATTGTACCTTGCTGTCTTTGGCTCTGGTCTATGTGCAAATAGACTGAAAAACATGTTTTTTGCTATTGCGGAAGTTAAGTAAATTTGACTGGTAAACTTTTGGAAAAAACTGGTTCTTTTAAAAATCCATTTTGTGTGGGGATGGCAAAGATAGAGTTTTCTGAAGGATTTAAAAATTCTTTTCTAAAGTGAGGATCACCATGCTGATAATGAAAAGTGTTGATAAACACAGATGAAGAATTCTGAAAAGCTTCAACATTTCCAGTGCCTTTTATCGAATCACACACATGGTTAGCATTTTTGTATAATTTCTTTCTCATTAATTTTTCCCTTTGCAAAAAAACTGAAACATTTGTTCCTGAGCTTAGCTCATGGTTCTTTGGGGTGTCATTTTTTAACAAAGCATTAACAGGGTGGTAGTTGCATATAGGTCTTTGATCTACATACTTTGTTTTATATGTTGTTTATCAGTTCATTCATCCATTCCATACATTTAATGTACCCACTATAGCTCTGCCATAGCAAACCAAAAAACCAAACTCACTGATTGTCTCAGAAAGTGTGTACACACCCATATGTTATCGTGAAATGGTAAGTTAGAGTAGCCTCTGTGGAATTTACTTTTGATCACTAAGTTCTGTGTAAGGTTTGCAGTGTACTCTAGTCACAGAAGGTGTGAAATAAGATTTTAAACAGAACACAAAAACAGAGACTAGGTGAGTTAGGAGTGGGGCTAGTATTTGAGCCTCCATGAATTGAATCAAGGTAATAATTACTTAAACAGTAATGATTAACAGCAAAGTACTTTGGAAGGAATCTGAAGAATCTATACTCCAGAGCACAGTGTTCAGATGGACCTGATGTGTAGTGTAGGTCATTAATCTGTATGCTCTTTCCTCCTGTAGTGATAAATCACCAACACCAGCAGCAAATGGCACCCAGTAGCCTGAGCCAGCAGAACCACCCTACGCAGAACCCACCAGCAGGGCTCATGAGCATGCCCAATGCGCTGACTACTCAGCAGCAGCAGCAGCAGAAACTGCGGCTTCAGAGGATCCAGATGGAGAGAGAGAGGATTAGAATGCGCCAGGAGGAGCTCATGAGGCAGGTATGGCCTTCCATGGTGCCTTGTGGAGGTGCCATGGATTTTGGTGCCAAGGCTGAGGGTATGTGTTTGCAATCGGGGTAAACCTTTCTCTAGAAGTACTGAAGGCCTAAAGCCCTACTCCAAACCTCATGGTTAGAATCCAGTTTCTTTTCCCAACGTTCTGTCTGCGCTGTCTTCAGAGCAAAATTTATGACTAAGGTCTAGATGTATATTAGTATGGCTGTCATTGGTTTCCACTGCTAATCTTTAGAAAGAGAGAAAGGGAAAAAAATTGGAGAGAAAAGGGCATGTTTCAATTATCTTGCTACATAACAAATTTTCCCAAAACCTAGTGGCTTAAAACAATAGCCATATTATTAGATCGCACAATTATGTGGGTCAGGAATCTGGGCAGGGCTCAGCTGGGCCCTTCTGCTCCATGCAGTTTTGACTGAGGTCACTTGGTGGTATTTTGTTGGTGGGTGGCAGCCCACCATCTGGAGGGTCCCAGATGGCTTCAGTCAAGTGTGTGGCACCATGGAGAGGATAGCTGGAAGACTAGGCTTAGCTAGGATGAAGCCTAGAGCAACTATGTGTGACATCTCCAGCATGGCTGACTCAGGGTAGTGAGACCTGTTATGTAGCAGCTCAGATCTCCTAGAGACAGTTTTCCAAGAGACAGGAAGTGGAAGCTGCCAGTTTCTAAGGGCCTGGCTCTGGAAACTGTTACAGAGTCACTTTTGCCATATTGTCTTGGTCAAAGCAGTCACAGAGCCTACCTAGATTAGAGCAGATAGTGGGAGGGGACATTACACGGAAGGAAGAACAAAGAATCTGCAGCTATCTTTGATCCAGCACAGTGCATGAGAAAGAGTTGGGGAAATTGAGGGGAGAAGGAAAATGGTTTATATCATGGACTCTGATATAGAGCTCTGCAAAACTGCCTGGATATGGATCGCCTGTGTGCCATACTCTGTTCATTCATTTGTTTGTTTAATCAGTCAACAGAATGTTGCTGTGTGTCTGCTATGGGCCAGGCTCAGTGCTATATTTTAAAAACTGATTGAAAGAGAACCTTGAAGAAACTCACAGTTTTTTCCCTGCTTCTGTGGCTTCTCTCTAGAAGAGCAGAATTCTTTCTTCTGTGTTGCAAAACTAATGTAACTCATATTTGCAGATGTCATAAATTTTGCTGGCTACATTTTAGAGAGAAAAGCTACAGTTTATTGTTCTAATTCTCTGGGCTTTGCTTTATGACTCATATGGAGCAAGATACATGGTTAGCTTCCTGTCTCTGATTTAAGGAAATAAGTAGTTTTAACTGTTCCAGAGAACTTTATTCCAGGGCAGGGGATGTTAGGGTAAACACAATTTTTATTTTTTCAAGTTACATCTGATGTTTTCAGAAATATCCACTGACTTCCATAAATGAATTGTGTATTTCTCATCAAATAAGTTCTAGGGCATATATATTATACTATGTATGATTTAAATATATGATGAATTAATTTCTTAGATATAGAATCTGAAAACAAGGCAGACCAAAAACTAAACTGAGTGCCGTTGAGTCGATGCCAACTCATAGTGACCCCTCCTTGGGTTTCTGAGGTGGTATATCTACAGAAGTAGATTGCCCACTCTTCCTTCTGAGGAGTGGCTGGTGGGTTTGAACTGTCAGCCTTCTGGTTAAGCAGTCAAATGCCTTAAGCCCTACGCCACCGGAGCTCCAACCTGAAAATGAGAGAAATGAATATATATTATGTTTCATTGTCCAACTGAACTTTCCTCCAAATTTGAAGAGTACAAATTTATACTATAACTACAGTTGTACCATATCCTGAGGATTTGTGTCCAAACTTTCATAGTTATTTCAGGACAACTGTTGTTTATACTGTTTTTAGAAATAAATTATCATGTTTCTTGGCAGGAAATAATTGTATTACTCTTTTCTGTCTTTGGATAATCTATTTGGAATAATTTTTCTATTTTATAATATAGAGTAAATTACATGGTACTATAGTAGCATTTATAAATTCCTACTTTTTATTTGAATGAGCCTCAATTAATTCTTTTTTGTGTTAGTTTTTACCCAAAGCTATTGACTGTTGTGCAAAGAATGATTTGTTTCTCGGTTTCTGCCCTTACTCCATGTTTCTCTTTTGCTTGCCCTACCTCCTTCTTTCCCACAGAAAGTATTTCTGAAAAAGGGTGGAGAGAAGTGCCCCAAATTATTTCCTTTATTCGAACTGTAGGTGCCTTTGAAACAGAATGTAATACTCATGGTTCATATTACAGAAATGCCAACCAAGTTCCTTAAATGTGAATCCCTAAAGGCTGTGGAACTTGGAGCATTTTGCTGCATCATAGTGTATAATTACAGTATGGAACAGCAACAGGAAAATGGAATCCAGATTTTGCCAAAGAGAGAGGCTTAATTTTTGAGAGAGAGGTTAAGAGGAGGAGAAGGAATGGGTGGTTCTGATACATCTTTTTAATACAAAGTGTAAGGGAAAGGTCTAACTACACTTTTTAATTGTGTACTTTTTTTCCCCGTTCAGAATCAGCCTGCTCCTTGTTGTCAAAGATACTACTTAAGCCCAAATTGCAAATGGTGCTAGACTGTTCTATAACAATTCTCTGGGCATTTGCCAGGATACCTGATTATTCAAGTGTGAGTTGTATGTATCATCCTGGTGTTTTTTGTTTTGTTTTGTTTTAATTTTTTCTTTTGGTGATTTTTGGCTTCATAATATGTTCCTAGGCCAGGGATGGGGGAAGGAAATGGACAGGAAGTATAAGAGACATCTGGCCCACCTGAATAGTGGTCTGCCAGCATCTGGCAGAAATGTATAGAGATGGGGGAAGTGGTTGGAAGATTATCTGTAGACTTCTGTTTGTTCACTCTCTCATACTCCCATGCCCTGGGTAGTCAATTACTGCCTGAATATCCTTGGCCCACTGGACAGTTTGTAATTAGCCTGTTCCCCTTTGTTGTATAGCCTGTCTTCTCAGTGTTGTTACCCTCCAGGCAGTCCTACACCTATCCTAAGAGGGAATTTCCAGGTGGGTGGCCCTATCCTTTGCTCTATCTACAGTAGAAGTGGAGAAAATGCCACATAAATTGTTATGTGCTACATCAGTCTTCATTCATTTCTCCTTCCTCTTCCTTATGCTGTGCCGTTATTCCTCTAGGGATATACCCCTACGCTTCCCTTCTTAACTATCTCATTTCTGATTTAGCATTTACAACAGTGAAAAAACTACTCTCTGACTATCTTGCATGTTAATGATGTATGTCTGACAGTAACAAACACTGAGCCGTGAGGCAAGGGTGACATTGCCTACAGTAGTTAAGGTTATATGTTTGTTTAGCTGGGCCATGATTCTCAGTGGTTTGGCAGTTATGTAATGATGTAATTTGGCAGTTATACAATGATGTAGTCTTCTTCTGTTGTGTGATCTGATGTGGTCATCCTGTACCTAGGCATAATACTGATTTTCATATAATGACCTAGTCTTCGGAAACTAACCATGTCAATAAGTGAGGAGTGGGTGTAGTCTGGTGATGTTGCTCTGTGGAGAAAAATACTCTCCAACAGTAATTGTTGTTGCACAATCTGAAGTACACCTTAAAATGCTAAGAGCTCATTGGCACTGAAATTGTGGCAGGATATTAACAAAAAGTGGATTTGAGGGAAGTTTGATTACAAATCTAAAGTGAACCTACATTATTTCAGGATGGAAGGTCATATTTTTTTTCATTCCTTCTTTCTTTTATGTCCTCATTTACTCATCAGCCAACATTCGTTTAATTGAAAATAATAGAAAGATAAATGGAACATTGCTGCCCTCAGATATGTGTATTTTAGCAGAGAAGACAAATGATTAAATGTAATCCAAACGAATGGCCAGAAGCATAAATTAAAATCATTTCCCACTTCATGGGTCCAGTAGCTGCCATCTTTGACTTTTATTACTGGAGCTGAGACTAGACATAGCAGAGCACGGACTTCTGGGAAAGGTAACATAAGATGCTTCCCTCAGACCACAAGATAGTTGAACAGCTACAGGATTAGCATCATCAGTCCAGAGAGGTTAGATAGTTCTACTTACTGATGAGGAAATCTTCTGAAGTAGGAGAGTTACCTTAAAAGAGGTCCCTATAACTTAGAATTGGCTGTAATATAATTAATTGTAATATAATTTACAAGTGGCTATGTGGCACAAATAGTTTGCGCTCAGTCCCTGGAGAAGGATATCATGCAGGGTACAGGGTCAGCGAAGAAGGGAAAACCCTCGACAGGTTAGATTGACACAGTGGCTGTGATGATGGGCTCAAGCATGGCAATGACTCTGAGAATGGCAAGGACCGGTTAGTGTTTTGTTGTGTTGTATATAAGGTCACATGAGTCAGATCTGACTCAACAGCAGTGAGGTTTTTTTTTTTTTTTGGTATATAAGGTCACTATCAGTTGAAACCTAACAACCACAACTAACCTGAAGGTTGGCAGTTTGAACCCACTCAGCATTGCTGCCGAAGAAAGCCTGGTGATATGCTTTCAAAAAGATTGTAGCTGAGAAAATTATAAGTTATAGATGGGCTTGCTATGAGATCGAATCAACCCTATGGCAATGGGTTTTGTTTCTGGTTTTGAGGAGTAACAGCAGAGTTCAGCTACCTACACCTGACACCTGATGCATTACCTTGGACTGTGGCACGTTCTCCCTGTACAGCAGTGCTGCAGAGCAGGAGGGGAGCTGAGTCAGGCCTGCAGCACACAGCCTTATTAGGAAATTGGGATCTCTCCTACATCTAACAGGCATTTGTCACAGACTTATGGAGACTGGATTTCCGTGAAAGACATTCTCCATTGCCCACGATAAAGAGAGCTTTGTTTTTATGGAATTTCTCAAAAGTATATGAGGCAGTTTCAGACTCATCAAGAAATGGCAACCCTAGAAAAGAAAGCAATTGAAGTTTGTTTTTTTTCCCTTGGTATCATCATATTTTTTTAAAAAAG